CTTCACCAAACATCCCCTCCCTCAGCCCTGCCATGAATGTGCCGTAGGCGATGTGCACTACTCGGTTCGCACAGGCTCATCCCTCAGCGTGGAGAGCTTTTGGGAGACTGTGATCTCTCTTCTGTGAAGTCTCCAGAAACCCTCCTACCTCATCACATCTGGCCTCCCTGCTAGACCTGACCCTTCATCTCAGTGTCATCATCCCCCAAGGCAGAGCTGACTGACATGGGGTCTAAGGACATAGGGCACATGACACACAGATGAGCAGGTGCAGCAGCATGGTAGCTGAGGCTGCGTGGGATGCCCGCATTAGGTTCCTGGTACAACCTAAACAGGTTGGGTGCGCTGGCACTTGCCTGTGGTCCTTGTTAACTGGGAGGCTGGGATAGGAAGATTGTGACATGGTGACACCCTGCCAAAAATCTCTCTCTTTCTCTTTCTCTTTCTTTTTATTTTTCTCTTTCTCTTTCTCTTTCTCTACCCCTACCTCCCCTGCTTCTCCCTCCCATACTTTCTTTCCTTCCAATGCATACTCACTCTCCTATTAAAAAAAAAAAAGAATGACATCACAGTGTTTTCAAAAGGGAACACTTCACACCCAGCTGGAGGTGAGGGTGGGACACTTCTGGGAGGGGGCAGCATTTTCATTGGACCTGAAAGGATGGATGAGGGGAAAAGTGCTCCAAATGGAGATACAAACTAAGAGACGAAGCTGGGCAAGCTTGGGGAGGAATTAGCAAGGTCTCCATCCTCTGAGGAGCAGAGGACAGTCCTGGAGAGCTGGACTGAGACCATGCCATGGAAGATTTGGAAAGCCATGTGAGAGGTTTGGGTTTCATCCTGTGAAGGACACAGAAGAGAAAGATAAGATGTGAGCCATCAGATCTGCAGCCAGTATGGTGGAGGGGAACAAGAAAATCCTTGAAGCAATTATGGTCCCAACGTAGTGGTCTGGGTTGGGAGAGCATGTGGATTGAACTGGGAATGGATGGAAGGCAGGAAAGGAGGAGAAGATATATCCAGGACGTGGCAGCTGCTTGGTCTGAGCCCAGAGGCTCTGAGACTTTTCGGTGAAAGGAAAGTCAGGGAGAATAGATTAGAAGGAAGGACTTAATGTTGGCTTGTATATGTACACATTTGCCTACTCCTTCCTTCCTGAATATCAGCATCATCCATTCATTCTTTCTTCCATCCAACAGTCCATCCATTCATCTGTCCATCTCTCCAGTGGGCCAGCCAGTCATCCATCTACCACCCACCCATTCATCCATGCATGTTTTCATCATCATTTGCCCAACCCATAACGTCCCTCGAGTTTCCTTATTAATGTCTCTATCCACATATTATCAGTCTATTCCTTCAGCTATTTCCCCACCTATCTGTCCAGTTCATCCACCATTTTCTAATCTAGGTAATCCTCACACCTGTCATAGATTTGTTTAATTACCTCTTTTCTTCTCATCTCCTGTTCATTCACCTCCATCCAGTGATTCACCCTCCACCTATAAACTTAGCCATCTGTCCTCACTTTAATTGCCTTGCCTGTCCCTCTTCCTCTTCTCTTCTCCTTTACTCTCCTTTGTGATGTCACCATCATAGGCATTCATTAAACTATTTTAGTCAATTACGTAATCACCGATTCATTCAAACTTCCCAGCATCTACCCACTACCCATCCATTTATACATGAAATAAATAATTGTTTAATGTCTAATTAGTGACGAGCAACACATAGTTACTGACCATAAGGAGCTGAATTCTAGTGAAGAAGTCAGACACTAATAAAACTCTCAGTCATGTATGTCAAGTGCTGATAACAGTTATGAAGAATAAGTGAAGCATGTTCATAAAAATGGGTCAGGGGGTGCTATTTTATGTAGGGTGGGCGAAGAAGTCCTCCTTGATGCGTTGCTATTTGAATGAGCCTGAATAACTCATTCAGCAGCAATACCTGTATCTGCAGAAGAATATTCTAGGAAGAGGAAGTCTTGCAGAAGCCCTGTGGAAAGCCAGATTCAGAGGCCAATCTATCTGGAATGGGATGGAGTTTAGAAGAGGGGACCCAGGAGGCCAGGCCATGTATGCCTTGTAAATCTCAGTAGGTATTTGGTCTTTTATTTAAAATGAAATTAGGAATTTTTGAAGAATATTCAACACTGAGTCATTATAATGTGTAAAAACACTACTCTTGCTTCTATGAGGAGCACAGATTAAGAATGAGAAGAGGAGGGAATGTGGGAGACCAGGTGAGACACTATTGCAAGATTTGGACCAGGATGGTAGGATTGGAAAGCTAAAAATTGGTCTTTTACGATTATATTTTGATGGAAAAGTCAACAGACTATCCTGAAGGACTGGACTATGGCGATGGAGGGACACTAGAAAATATCCAAAGATTACGCCAAGGATACTCATTTAATCAATTGAAAGAATGGAGGTGCCATTTACATTGATGAGGAAGACTGTAGGAGGAACAAGTTTGCGAGGAAAATCCATCTCCTCATCTTGTCCACCCACCAGGTCATGCACACATGCTTTTACTCTTCCAGATAGCTACCAATCCAGTTTCCTCTCTATAAATCCATCTATTAATTCTCTTTCCTTTGCCATTTCACTTCCATACTCAATTATCCCTAAATTCATTTACTTACCAATTTCATATTTCCATTCATCATCATCAATCTTTGTTCTTCTTTATTTCCTTTCACTATTTATCCATTAACCTCATCTATTACTTTATTCTTCCACCCATTCACCACCCATCTATCAATTTAATATTTTTATCTTCTCCATAGTCATATACTTCCCCCTTAATTCATTACTACTAATAGTACAATAATAGTAGCAACACCACCAGCAAATAATAATAAATACAGGATAATAACAAATATTTGTTGACCTCTTAGTATATTCTAAGTACTGTTCTAAGCACTTTCTATGGCTTAATTTATTGTACTATTTTAATTAATAATAATA